TCGGGAACAGCCAGCTCCCGCAGCAGCAGCTCTTTGCAGCACAGATGGTGCGAGCACAACCCCATCCAGTATCCAAAAGGCAGATCAGCACCAAGACCCACCGCTGAGCCCCTCCCCACCCCGCAGCTTCTCACCCTGTGCTCACACTCCCACTTGAGCAGGGGTGAGTTTTGCCACGTTCTGGTACAAAATTACTTTTTAAGCTTGAAGGAAGTTTGGGAGGATTTATCCTTGAACCAGCAGAAAACAGCTGGGAGAGGACACGCAGCTCCAGCAGCAGCCTCGCTCCACAGTGTGACCCTGGGGGGGCCCCTGTCCCCTCTGGCCCCCGAGGCCGGCAGCACTTGCCTTTTGCTCGAGCCCCTTTTTGGCGCCCAGCTCGGACTCCAGCCGCTCCTCCAGCTGCACCAGCCGCTTCCGCAGGAAGGCGATCTCCGTCTGCGCGCACTCGAAGCGCACTTGCCACTCGTCCTCTGCAAATGGGGAGAGATCCAGAGACGCTGGGCGGGTGCTCAGGCCTGACTGGCCGTGCCGGGTCAGTTGGGTGAATGCACAACAGCACCACGGGTCCCGTGTGGCACCGACACCAGCACCGAGCTCAGGGGGTGCAGCTCTGCTTTGGGCACCCAGGGCTGCCCCAGCTCACACAGCGCATGTACCCTCGTCTTGGGCAGAGCGTGCGTGCTCATCCCATCCCATCCCAACCCATCCCATCCCCACCCCATCCCCTGTGTCTTAGCAGCCTCCTCACCACTCCAGAACATTCTCCAAACACACTTTGAGCTGCCGGCAGTGCCAGCGCCGTGTGCGACCGAGCTGTGGCTGCCAGCTCCCACCAGCGGAATGTGCCCACACCACGCTGGGGTGGCCAGGGGCTGGGGGAGCAGCACTGCTTGGGGCGCGGGGTAAACCTCTGCCCAGTGTAAGAGGCTTTGCTGGCCCATGGAGGTGGCCGTGCTGGCCCCACAGGTTGGGCTTGATACCCAGAGCATGCATGGCCCCTGCAGGGACACCCCTACCTCCTCCAGAGCCACTTATCTTCATCTCACGCAACTGAACCAGCTGCTGGGCCTCTTCCAGCTGCTTTTCCACTGACTCCAGTTTCTTCTGCACTTGGTCGTGTTTGCTCTGAGGAAACCCGGGGGAAGGAAGGGAGCAGCTCTACGCGGGCACTCGGGTCCAGCAAGGCTGTGCCAAGAGGGCGACATCGCCACCGGCACGGCCCGACAGCTCGGGGCTCCCCTACCTGCAGCTCCTGCAGCTCGCGGGCGCCCCGCAGCCTCTCCGCCCGCTCCCCGTCCAGGACCTGGCAGGCGACGTCGCCCTTGTACCGCTCGTCCGACAGCTCTGTCGTCAGGTCGATGATCTGGGGGGGCAGTGGGGAGGCAATTTGGGCATCGCTGTGCCTGTAGGCTCAGGGCGGGGGTCCAGCCATCCCGCATCGACCCTGCAGCGTCCTGACCGCTCGCGTCTGGCAGCTGCCTGTGCTTAGGGGACGTGGTAAGAGATCACCAGCACCGACCAGTGCCACCAGTGGGAACCCAGGCTCCCACTAGCAGTGCCCAGCAAAAAGCAACTGGAGCCTGTGGCAGCCCAAGGCAGCTGCCCAGATTTCCCCATCTCTATCTCCATTTCTAGCTGATTAACATTAAATTTCGTTGGAAACAACCAGCAGATGAATGAAGAGGGGAGTTATTTATCTGGACAAAGCAGAGGCGGAGGGTCTGTGCTGCTCAGCCGGCTGAGCAAGGGGCTGCAGAGGTGGCAGGGCCAGCAGGAACACGCAGGCTGCCAACGCTCCTCTTCCTCCCTCCGACAGCATTTTGAGGCACTCCACATTTTGCAGGGACGCTACACAAGCTCCTTAGGGGCTCCAACAAGTTTAACTCGGTAAGTAAACTCCATAGGTTTTCTTTCCGCAGGGAGCTGGCATTTTTCTAGGTCTGTGCTGAGGCATTAGCCTCGCTCAGCAGTCCCTGCCTCGCGGGTGTGATTTCATTTTTAACGGGGATCTTGAGCTAAATCATCTTTAGCCGCTTCCCGTGGAGAAGGGGGTCCCCGGCCCTTGGGGCTGTTGGCACCATTAACCAGAGCTGCAGCGTTACACCTCGGCCGTTCCTTGCGAGGGGCGAGCGCCAAACCCAGGGCATTTGCAGCAAACCTGGGAGCTCCTTCTCCTCCTGGTGCTGAACAAAACCCCAGCTGCAATCACACAGGAGCCCCTGCACAGGACCAGCAGCCGGCTGGGGAGGCATTTGGTCCCCAACAAGCCTCCCAGTCCCTTGTGACACGCACAACGGGGCACCGCGGGGGCACGCTCGGAGCCAGGGGACGGGCAGGACCCTTCTGCGCGCGTCTCCTCGGTATTAGCGCTCGTCCCATTAAACTAAAATGACTCCTGGCGTCTGCAGAGGTCGGCGAGCCTGCGGTCCTGAGAGCGTAACGAGAACATGATACATCTCTCTGTAATTCCCCACTCTAACGATGCCCTTCTGGCAGCAGAAGGGAGGAATCCGCGCTGCCGCTTTCCAGCCTGGCCGGTGGCAGCGGGAGGTGATGTCTGTCCTCTCCCTGAGGCTTTCCCAGGGGACACCCCTGGAATGGCCCATCCCCAGGGTGTCCGGGCTGCTCTCTGGGTGCAGACCCCGGGGGAACCCGTCGCTCTGGCCAGCAGGGACCCTGCAGCGGTGCCGGCCCCGGGTGCTGCAGGCGCCTGGGTCCCGCACAGAGAACCACAGCTGGCAGCCACCCCTGCCCAACCCTCTGCTCATCACGGCCCCTCCTGCTCTGATCTAATTCGTGGTCATATTTATCCAGATACAGCTTAATTTCCAACTCGACCAAGTGGGGCTGCGGCAGGGGCTTTTTTTCAGGCTCTACCTTGCTCTCCAGCTTCTCTGCAGTCTGCCTGAGCTCGCTGCATGCCTGCTCGGATTTTTCCAGCTTCTTTCTTAGCACCACCAGCTCCTCCTAGGGAAGATTGAAAAAAAAAAGAAAAAAACCCCAAACAAAAAACCCCAAACAACAACAACAAAAAACAAACCAAAAAACAACCCACACGTGGAGAGCTCCAGCATCCTCAATTTATGAAAATCTTGTTTTCTGTTCAAAATAAGCAGGAGAGACATAGCTGTCTGATTAATAAAATTTACCAGGCAACTTTGAAGGCTGCTCACTGCAAATTGCCAGGACTGCAGCTCCTGACATGAATTTCATCGGGGGGACTGTCAGCTTTGGTGTGCGTACAGAGCACATTTTACGAGAAAAAGAAGCAAACCTCAAAAGCCCGGGATGAACAGCCAAAACGTCTAAATTTTGCTCGTGGAGCATTCCCGGGGCCCTGGCAGGCTATCACAGAACCGTGGCAAAGGCACGTTGTTTTCTGTGATTCTTTTTCAGGCAGCCTGACTGTAGCAGCAGAAAGCTGCTCGGTGCAGCCTTGTCCTGCTTTGATGTCCGACACCGAGCAGAAGCGGAACGTGCAGAGCTGTGATAAAAGCGGAGGTTAACGGGTGATGGGCCTGATGGATCCCAGGTGGGTTTGGAGAGAGAAACAGAGGCTTGGGCAGCTTTTGTTTCATCTGAGCCAGCCTGAAAACATCTTGTTAAAACCTCACTAAGGCAAGAGGAGGAGCAGGATGCCAAGGAAGACAGACTAAGAATTTAGCACAGGTCTCAGACGGTGCCGAGGGGCGAAAGGTGCCTTTCCCGGGTCAGCAAGTGCCCGTTGATGTCTCCCGTCACCAGTGGCAGCGCAGCTGGAAGCCAGCACAGCTCTGGTGATGGTACGGAGCAGAGTCCCCTGAGTCAAGGATGAGTTTGACCGCTCATCATCCCTCATCCCACGGACTGATGTGGGGTACCCACCCCCAAGGGGCTCGGCTCAGTGGGTTCAGCCCCAGCAAGCTCACGGGGGGTGCAGGGAGGGCAGCTGTGGCCCTGGAATGGGGCTTCGGCTGCGGGGACATGGTGCGTTTACTAATGTCCCTCTAAGGAAGGAAGAGTTATTTCTCCCTCCACAACTCTGCAGAACACATTCCTGGGGGCAAAACATGCAGAGCTAAGAACAGAGGATGGCTTCTGCATGGTGAGAAAAACATCTCTGCCCTGGCAGAAGTGAATTCTAGTTTGAGTGACCTACCAGGCAGATCCCCTAAAGCATCCCACCCCATCCCATCCCATCCCATCCCATCCCATCCCATCCCATCCCATCCCATCCCATCCCATCGCTTGGTACCTACTTCTTTTGCCCGGAGCTGCTCCTCCGCAAGGTTAACGCTAAGCAGGGGCCGCACGTGGCTCAGCAGTTGCCACCAGGGCCAGTGCCTGACTGCCTGGAAGACCACCATGTTCTTCTGGATGCAGCGGACAGCGAGACGCTGGATCTGTGGGGAGACACGGCCGGCAGTGCCCCTCGCCCAGCCACAACCGAGCCCGCCGGGAAGGACCAGGCTGGGGCACTGGGCTGGAGAGGGATGAGGTGGCTGGGCAGAGCGGTAGCCTTCAAAGGAGCAGCCTGGTCTGCTCAAAAAGTCTGTAATCTGGGTGCTCTGGGCTGTGTCACAGCAGCACCCGCCCTCTGCTGCGGTGGGCACAGGGCAGCCACGACCCGCGGGCTGCGTACCTTCAGCCTCTTGAACTTCTGCCGGCTGAGGAAGCCCCTGCAAGCAGCCTGGAGCAGGATCATCTTCTGGGCTATCAGCTTGTCACGTTGCTTCTCCAGCCTGGAGATGACCCCTGGCTTCAGGAAAACCTGACAACAAGCAACGGAGGTTACACATCCCTGGGACAGGGTCTGAGACCCACCGGTGGCCCGTGGGACATATTTCTGGCTCCCCTGAGACCTGCAGGAGACCAAAGGTCCTCGGACCAGCCAGGACCAGAGAGTGAGACCGCTGCACCAGCCCGGAACACCGGTCTGGGAGGGGGCTCCAGCCCTACCTGGCCAAACCCACAACGCGCCTGCCTGTCCCGTGCCATGAGGGCACCCAAGGTGGCCCCAACCTCCCTGGGGACACTCATGGGACAGCAAGAGCAAGCTGTGTCCTGGCTCTGTCCTGACCCCAAGCTCAGCAGCGGGATGGCTGCACGTCCCGGAGAGCTCTGTCCACCCGCCCCTCCACCTCCTGCTCCTGGGCATCGCCGAGTCGGGGCGCACGGGGCTGCCCAGGTCCGCTCACTCCCCAGGGACGGGGCTGCTGGTCGCCCTTCGGGGTCCGGCCCTCGCACTGGGCACACGGGGCATTTGTTCTCTGTCCCTGACACCTCTCACTCCTTTTTGACGCAGGCATCAGCCATCACAAGAAGCTGCGAGTCCTCGAAACTCTTCCCTTGGGCCACTGCCTGTTTCCCACCCGCCGCAAGAACAGGAATGCTGGCCGCGGCATTTCTGACAGCGCGCACACAAATGCACGCAGGTAACAGCCAAGATGCCAGTTTACGACAGGAAAAACAAAACTAACCACCTCATTTTCCTTAACTGGACTTGTCAGAAACACCTCATAAATGATACAGATTTGCTGATGCCATCGAATTTAGCCCAGTATCGATCTCCCAGAGCGTAAGATCTCTCTCGGTCGTTGCCTGGCACAGCTCTTGGGATACGGGACCAATCACTCCCGACTGTTGTGCCCCATTTGCATAATACAGCTTTAATAAAAACTGAATTACACTCGTGAAGCCGGTGGCATACTTAAAGAGCTGCGTTTTAAAGATGCCAAATTGAATCAAAGAACAATTCCAAGGAAACTCACTTTCTTGAGATAATGCTATGATTGCTCCACCACCTATTTGATTGTCTCATTAATGTCTGTATTAACTTCACAAGCCGGTGAGTTTTGGAAGCGAGTACAAAAATCAATGCTCAAAGCGATGGCAAAACTAACTCCTCTATAACAAGATGTGACTGGAGCCGCTATCGCGCTATTGATTAAGTACAAGGGTTTCATAAAAGAGATAATTGCAAACTGCGCGGTGCAGGATAAAAGTAAGTTATTTTGCTCCACAGAACCGTTTCATGAATTCTTTCTTTTATAGACTCCGGGAGCTGAAGGCAAACGCCCATGCAAAATTAATTTTTCTTTCAGATTATCGCATTTTAAGTTCAAGTGTTGCTGCTGCAACAACCTCTTGCACCTGCAGCTGCCCGGCTCAGCGGCCTTAACCCCAGCCCACCAAAACCATGAGCTGCCCAAGCCCCATCGACTCCCAGTCAAAGGTAATTAGGAACTTAAATGCCGTGAGGGGCCGGGCTCTGATAATTAGGTACACAGTTTACCCAGGGTAACGCTTTCAAACGTGAATTAGGAGCTTTCCGCTTTGATTTCTGGCAAGGCTTGGTTTCCCAGCCCAGCTGGGCCCCGCGGGGAGCCGCAGAGGAGAGGATTTCTCCCCAGTTTGGGGAGCTTTGGGCAGCTGGGAGCGCCCAGCCCGGGGCTGGCTCTGCCCAAACGCACCGGGAGCGACGGGGAGGCAGAGACCGGAGCCGCCGTACCTGGCTGCGTCCCACGGCCACGCTCTTCTTCTCCAGATCCAGCGCCTGGAAGAGTTCCTCTATAGCCTGCGGAGAAGGAGCACGCCAGGGAACTGCTCAGAAAACATTTACCCCCTGGTATGAGCCTGCGGAAATGGGGCACAGAGACCCCCCCAGTCCTTACAGGCACCCAGGAAAGGTCCCTCCAGCTGTGCTCTCGTTTCCTCCTCCCCACGCGGGCAGCGCACCCGCCCAGCCCCGAAACAGCCGCCCCAGCCCTGAGTCCTGGTGCGAGAAGGACTTTCTGCTCCGGAGGCTTTGGGCAGGATGGGGATCTGCAGCCCCAGGCAGAATTTTCCCCCTTTTGCTGCCGTCCCCGGTCTGGAAGGACCCTGATACACCCCGACGGAAGGAGGCTACTCAGGGGAAGGCGAGAGCCCACCCCGGCACCAGCCAGCCAGGGTCCAACTGTGCTGTGCAGCTGCAAGCCCTCGGTGCTCCCCTCCTGCCCGCTCGCCAGCAGCTCAGCCTGTGGAGCTGAAAGCAAGGGGGGGAAGCCCCAAGTTCCCCCCGAGCCCACCCGCACAGAGCTGAGCCCCCACGGGGAGGCAAGCAGGAGATTAGTCCCAAGCTGTAAGAGAAGCCTGAACTCAATTTACTCTGAGCTCTGGACCGACATGGGAAGGTAACAGCCAGCAACACCACGCGTCTCCCCAGGGCAGCAAACGCTCTCTGGATGAACGGATGATTCGAAAACCCCAGAGCTACAGAAACTGTAACAAAACCCCTCCACTAATACTTCGCACCGAACAACATCCTCCAGCAGCCTCAGGCATCTCCTCCACGAAGGACGAACCCACAACTAGAAATATTCTGCCAGCTGCAGCCCAGGCTGGCACCGGGGCGAGGGGGGACGGAGCCCGGGGGTACAGACCACCACGGTGCAGGAAACCACGCACCCTGGCACCCTCGCGACGGCACAAGTTGTGCTCCAGCGGCCGGGTTAATGCGGCTTACTGGGAAGAAGTCTCCGGTGAACAAAACCACGCGGAAACAAGCTCCGGGGAGGATGGGATTTTTTCAAATCCCCTGCTTACACGCTGCTGACGAGGCACCCTCTGCCTCCTTACAGCATTTAATAACAATATTGACCTTTTCTGACTGTCAAACTTGTCTTATTAAATCCCGAGGTCTTAACTGAATTTGCACACGCCGGCTGGCAGTTTGCACAACCGAGCACGCGCCCATGTTTAATTCATCCCCTCTCAGCTCTCCCTGGCTCTCAGGGCTTCTCCGCTCGCTCACAGGGGCAGTTCTCCCCGGCTTTTGCTACAAATTTCTTATGGAAAAAAAATAAAAGCGGCAAATCTCCGCCTTCGTTCCTGAGCTCCTTGGGCTTTCAGGCTTTGTGGGAGGAGGCGAAGAGCCACCCTGGGCTGCGGGAGGTGATGCGGGTCCCCAGGAAGCTCCATGGTCCCTGCTCCCTTGGCAATGCTGCCTGCCTTGTCCTCAGCCAGCCGGCTTTTGGGGGAGCCAGGACGAGGGACGGGGTGCTGCCACGCTGGGACAGAGCAGTGTCACCTGCACGTGCCCCCAGCCCCCCAGTTTGTGCCCTGTCCTGCAAAACCAGACCTGGCACGCAGCCGGAGCCCCGGCGGACCGAGGCACAGCCCGCAGCGAGCAGGATTTCCAAAGCCACTTCTTCTTGAGTATTAAAAAGGAGCAGTAACAGGCTTCATTTCCAGGCTGATTTGCTCAAGTCCTCTCCACGGTGCAATAACACGGGCAAGCGTGGCCCCCACGCCGGGTGTTTGCTGCCTTTGCAAAAACTGTCCTTGGGGGGAGAAACTGCGGGACGAAGAGCGGAGCTGGGTCCTGCTCCGCCAGGCTGCTGGGGGAGCCGCGTCCCTCCGCGCTCAGGCACGCGTGGGAAGGGTGAAGGGGAGCGGGACGCAAAGCCACCCCCTGCACCCACTGCGGGTGGAGCTGCGGCCGCCCAGAGCCCGGAGCTACGGGCTGAGCCCCGAGCCCAGGTGCCGTTTCTCAGCAGCGCTGCGGGTGCTGCCCTGCCACCCTGAGCCTTGCTGGACGCGGATTTTCTCCCCCACCCCAGCTCCTAAAGGCAGACTCACGTTTAAGAAAACCCCCCAGACCTGCACGGACAACTCTGCTGCCAAAGTCCTCAACAGCTGCCCAGATGTGGGCTCCCGCCCGTGGGGGAAGACGTTGGAGCTCGGCAGCCCACAGACCTGCGGGTTTTGACCCTACAGCAGCCACAGCAGAGCTGATGCCTGAGTGATCCCAGGGCTGGGAGATGCTGGTCTGACTGGTTTGGAGGGAGGACAGCGGGGTGCAGGCAGGGCCTAGGCAGCGCCAGCGCAGGGGCTGCTGCAGGGAGCTCCAGGAATTGCTCCTCGTTGCAGAGAAAGCCCTGACTGTGCCGGGGAGGGCTGGAAGAGCTCTGGCACCCGCAGAGCCCCACGTGCCAGCCCGGCACACACCTTGCTCTCGTCCGGCACCTCGTAGGCAGAGCTGTGCTTCTTCATGACGTCCGGAGCCAGGACCTGGAAGCGCCTTCGGAACTGGGTCAGCAGCAGGCGATCCGCATAGCCTGGGGACACACAGCCATCGCTAGGGGCCACCAGCCCAGGGACACAGGCGTGCACCGAAACGCTGGGGAGGGAACCAGCCGCGAAGGGTGGCACGTTCTGCGCACCGCAAAGGGCGCTGCGGGTGGTGGGGACCAGGGGAGCCGCCCTTAGCGGAGGGAGATGCGCTTGAGGTGGTCGGACGCCATCGCAGCACCTCGTGTCACACGGGAGATGCCCCTGGACCTCCCGCACGGTCCCTCTGTCCCCGGCATGGCCTGGGACCCCGGTTGGTGCAGGTCCAGCTCGATGCACGGACGCTCCAAGGGGAGCACAGGGAAACCCCCTCCTGGAGCTGCAGCCGCCACGCTCGGGCTGTGCCGCCCGGCAGCACCGCGGGCTGTGAGCAGGAGAGGGGCTGGGAACCCCCGGCAAACAGCATCAATAAAGACTTGGGGGCGTTCTGAGGTGGGGCTGGCAAGAGGCAGATGCCGAGCGAGGCGTGGGAGGGCACACGGCAGCGGTGGGGCCGTCACGTACCGACGCGGTGGAGGCGCAGGGCGTCCAGGAGCTGGGTGCCCTCCAGCTGGGCTCGCAGGGTCGGCACGTCCAGCTGCGGGGCTGCGTCGGGCGGTGCGGGGGGCCGAGGGACCCCGGTGGCCTGGGGCGTCCCCGGGAGGAGGCAGTGGATGAAATGCAGCTGGGAGCGTCGGAGAAGGTTCGTGAGCGCATCCTGCCAGGCGAGGAAAGGTCAGTGGGGCGGGAGGGGGGCGAAGAGACAGCGTGTGATGGGGGGGGAGACGCTCCCTGTGCACCCCCCGCCAGGTGTCTGGGCAGGTAAAGGAGCCTCCTCTGAGCTCAGGTGCGTGTCAGGAACAACAGAGAGGTGAGCCCGGGGGGCAGGCCACGTGCTGAGCGGGACCTTCCTCCTCATGTCCCACATTTTCGGTTGATGGGCTACAACAGGTTACCGGGGTTGAGGGTTGCTGGGCGGGGTGAGCCCGGGACAGCCAGGACCACAACACGGGCTGGCCAGGGAGCCTGCGGACACTGAGCCTCGTCTCCTCGACAGAGCGCGACACCTCATTATGGCCAAGATCAGCAGGAGCTTGGCACGTGCCCGGCACGGAGGGCTAGTCCACCGCTCTGAGTGCTTAAGAGGATTAAGTGGCGGCACAGCAAGGTGCGCGTGTAATCTGGTTTACGATTTGTTTGCCTGCGACGCTTTCCCTGAGCCACAGTGGTGCTGGGGAGGCCTGTGGCCACCCACGGCCAGAGCAGCATCCTGGGCCAAGAGCCCTGCGGGACACTGAGCCTCAACGGACCCTACAGAGCAAGAGGTGCCCGCCAGGGGGTGTGGGGTCCCCGCTAAGGGGGATGCACCCCGCTAAACGGGACACCCAGTGCTGCCAACACCATGTAGGTCCCGGCGCCCACACTCACCGCCTGCAGTTTGAGCTGAGCACACACCGACTTCTTCACGGCTGCGAAGCTGCTGGCGAAGGTCTTCCTCACGCAGGCGTTGCGGTGCAGGGCGGCCTGGGAGCGTCCATCCAGCCCCGCCACAGCGCGGCAGGGCAGCGGCGCCCGCGAGCGCGGCAGCACCAGCTCCTTCACGGCGTCTCTGTCGGGGCGAGCAATGAGACGGGGCCGTGGGGCCGCGGGGAGGGGGAACGTCACAGCCCCTTCAACAGGGAGGCAAAGCCCAGCACCCCAAATTCAGCATCGGTGCTCCACAGAGCGGAGGGCTGGGACACCCCCCACCCCCTCTGTGCTTCTCTAGTTTGGGCACGGAGCCGTTAAAACTTCCCTGAATGGAAGCCCAAACCAAAATGAGCCGGAAGTGTTTAGGCAGAAGGTTAAAATCATCCCTTCTGTGTGTGGAGGCAGCAGCTCGATCACATTTCCACTCTGATTTAGTTTACAAGGTCCCTCGAAGCAGTGGGGAAGCCTGCCCTCGGTCAGCGATGTCTCGCAGCCCCAACCCGCGCTGGATGCCCAACCCCACGACGCTGCAGAGCTGAGGACACCGTGGGGTGCCCCCGGTGTCCCCTGGCCTCCCCACTGCACATGTCTACAGGAGGGAACCCCTGCTGAAGTGGCACGGATCTGCTCAAAGCCGACAGCTCTGACGGCAGCTGTTCGCCGTGGCGTCCTTCACCGCCCCACTGCGCTCACAGCGTGTAGATGTGGCTGTCAGTCAGCCCGGGGGCTGGATGGCCGTAAGTCAAACCATTTGACATCTGCTCCCCCCACCTTATCTCTCTCAGGATTCCCCACAAGCTGCATTGAAAGCTGTGGGTTTTTCTGGCTTGCTCGCAGTTTTTCCCACTCGAGATCCCGTCCCCTCCTTGCCCGCCCGAGGCCAGATCAGCTCTGTCCCCTGGGCTGTGCGTCGGGCAGGAGGTGGGGGGACAGGCAGGGACCCCTCACAGCCAGCACCAAGGGCGCTGCCCAGGCCGCGGGTCCTCTCCTCTTGTCGGGATGCCCCACACAACCCTCTGCCTCCCCCACCACGGAGCTGCAGCGGTGTGCAACCTCCAGCCCCCGCTGCAGCAACTCAGCGGACGGCAGGGCCGTCCCCAACCCACCGCCCCGGGCACGGCGATGAGCGCCGGTGCTGCGGCACCTCCCTCCTACTTACACCTTGGAGCGCTGCAGCACCTGGATGGCGTTTTGTGCCGAGAGGTTGAGCTTGGCTTTGCTGACCCAGCCCGTGAGGTCGTAGCGCACAGGGTCCGTGCCCAGCTGGTGGGAGATCTCAAAGTTCAGCGCCTGCTCGCACCTGCGCATGCAGCCGTCCTCTGCGATGGCATCCCAGAGTCACCCCGGAAGAAAAGCCCAGGGACACATTTAATTTGCCACACGGTTTCTTAAATTTCCAGTGCCAAACGACGGGCAGCCGAGCCGCCCCCAACTTACCCTCCTGCTCGGGTCCCTTGGTGGCGAAGTAGGAGCAGAGGCGGTCGAAGGCGGCGCCGTCCCCGGAGCCCGGGATCAGCACCTCCTCGTCCAGGATCCACAGCAGCCCCCTGCGATCGGCGCCCGGGCTGCTGGGCAGCGCCTGCGGCTGCCGAAGGGACACGGCCCTTGGTGACAGGGAAGGGGCAGGAGGGCCGCGGGCAGCCGGCTCCAGCCGCAGCCACGTCACCCTGCTCCCCAACGCCCCTGCCCCACACCACGGCCAGGAGACCCTCCTGGCCTGACCCGGCTCTGGACATCGCCCTCAAGACCTTGACCAGGAAGGGTGCTTGTATTTTATAAAACCAAAAAGGTCTTGGTTGATGCTGTGCCCTCCCCTGCAACAGCCCAGCTGCTCTGTGCAAAACACACCGCGAGGTCCCGCTCTGCCTGGGAAATCCTCACTCCTCTGAGCAGGAGGACGCTTCAAGCACGGCCAGAGCGACCAACTCCCACTGTGGCCACGGGGACGAGTTACCTGTGAGGAGCTCAGGTCGATGACGGACAGCGTGGCCAGGGGAGAGCGCTCTGGAAGATCAAAAGACACCTCAACATTTTCCTGGAAAACATTATTTAAAAGTTTGCTTCAGTCACGGCCTGGCATCCGAAAGCCAAGAGGAGATACATCTGCATGGAAGGGGAGGAAGATGGGGGGGTCCTGCACCCGCTCAGCTTTGGGGGGATCCGGGGCCGGGGGAGTGGAGCAGCCACCGGAGACACGGCCGGTGTGACACGGAAGCACGGCCTCATCCTGCCCGGGGCAGGGCCGCCGGGACCCCCGCGCCCAAAGGGCTTCTGCCGCGCTTCGCGGATGCTGGACAAGCTGCATTAATCACGGCTAAGATAACAACTGAAGACTTAGGAAAGCACCAAGAAAACAATCAGTTGTACATCTGCAGCTCGCAGGCACTGTTTCCCTTTCCGAACCGAGGGGGGGAAGCACGGCTCCCTCGCGCTCACGTGTGAACCGGGGGCGCTCAGCGAGAGCCGCAGCGTTAACGTCCCCACATGTACACGGTGAGATTCGGCTCAGGGTTCGGGTTTGCAGCCCGAGCGTGCAGGTGGAGCAGAAAGCAGCGGCGGGGCCCTGAGTTTCCTCCTACCACGTGCCACCCTCGGCCCCGTGTGTGACCCGGCTCCGGGAGTAAATGGGTCACCGGGGCTCGGGCTCGGCGCCGCAGTCCCGTGGCTCACAGGGAAATGGCTTGTACCAGGGCAGAGCCCTTGGCCAGCAGCACAGCCAGGGCAAGGCTGAGCCCGCCGCGTTTCCAGCTCGGCCACTAACTACAGATTCATCACGAGGAGGAGCACACAGATACTCACCTGGTGCAAGCGATGTGTGAACATTAAGCCATGGGAATTCAACTCTTCCCAGGGCTAGAGGTATTAAAGTAACTTCTGCAAGCCTAATGAGTTCAGCTCTGCTTGTAGGTTTTTCAGCAGCTTGTTTCTGCAATAATTTATCATTTTCCTTTCTATTCTCTATTATTCATCACCCGAGGAAAATCTCAGCTGCACCAACAGAAGGGCACGAAGCCTCCTGAGCTGGAACAAGCGTGCCCAGAGAGATGCCAAGACAGCCTGGCATCTGTGGCACGTCCGAAACACCCGAGAGGATCCATGACTGGGGCAGCGGGGGGAAGAGAGTCCCAGCTCAAGGCCGTGGCTCTGTACAGACCCCTCGTCTCTGCAACAGCCCCTCGTCGACCCTCCTGAGCGTCTCGTTCGGTCACACCGCGGCGGGGCACAGGGACCCACTGGGTCAAAGGCAGCCCCGTGTCCCCGGGTGCTGGGACACTGCTCCCAGCCCTCACTCCTCACCTCTCTGTACCTCTCCATTTCCAAAACAAAGGTTTTCTCGTAGAAGAGAGCCTGCAGCCGCTCGTGCACGTAGTTGTGGCAAAGCTCCTCGAAGGTCGCCGCTCGCTCGCCCCGCTGGTGCCGTGGGTTGTGAAAGCCGGGGGTGTCCACCACCGCGATGGAGGCCATGGAGAGGTGCTGGGAGGAGAAAGACCTGGGGAAAGACCCCCCCACACGGCCGGGTTGTACCCACAGACCTCAGCTCTCCCGTCGGAGGTGACAATCCCTCCTCCCCGCAGCGTGCCGTCCGTGGGTGGGCACCATCCCACGTAGCCGTGACCAGCCCAGCGCTTCCCCTCTCCCAGTGTCTCCTGTCAGGGAGCGCCTGCACCTCCTGCCACGCTTCCTTCGCTTGGCCCTTCGCTTCACCCACCTCTTCCCTCATCTCCCCCCAGCCTGGACGGAGACACACAGCAGGACTGGCCCTGACCTGGCCTAACGACCTCGTAACGGCGAGATGCCGCCCTTCCCAGGCTGGCCCCCTCCTGGCACCCAAGGTATTTAACATACTACATCTTCATCCAAATGTGTAAAGTTTGGTGGACCAGCTGATTTAAAAAGCGGCTAAACTGGCACCTGACGCCGACACTGAGCACAACAGGAGTGTCCAAAGCCCCCGCTGCCGTGCTGTGCCACTTCTACAGGGAGAGCTGCTGATGTTCAGCTCCGAGGAAATCGCTAACAGGAACCACAGCCCATAACACACGTGGTCTGAGAAGCGGAGATCAAAGGGCTTCTTGGGAGAAACGGAGAGGTTTACTCCTTCAAACGATGCTTGCAGCCATTTCCAGTATTTCAGATAAGGACAGCAGGGGAGTCTGGCCGCGGGAAACCTCGGGGATTGTTTTTAATGAGCTTTTCTGAAACAGCCCATCGTGTTGTGCTACCGTGGTGCTACCCCTTCCCGGCGGGGCAGCCCGTCGCTGCTCCGGCGAGATTCAAGGAGATGCATTTCTCCTCAGTAGCGAGGCCCCAAGGATGCCAGCCCTTTGATGAAAGCACAGGGCTGAACGAAGGAACAAAAAGTATATTCATGAGTGGCTTGTGGAATTTCCTAGCAGCACCCTCCCGTAGCTGGAGTTGGAAAGATTCACTTTCACCGTCAACTCGCCGAGGAAACAGCGTTTTCATGGCTGTGCTGAAACCTGCCTCTTCACCTGGATCATCATCGCAAAGGTTTAATGGGCTTTGGTGGGCTGGTGTGGAAAATAAAACCCGGCAAAACAAAGCTCCCTTTAAAGGGAAGAGGGGACCCAGGACACAACCCGAGTTAATGATGTTATTCAAGAGAATCAGCATCACTTTGCTCTCTGTCGGCCCTTTGAGTACCATCAGCAGTTTCCCTTTGGAATGTGGTTGCTAGGAATTACAATAAAAATATTCTGCAGGTTAAATAACTGCAGGTTAAAATAAACCTGCAGCAACAACAGAGAGTATTTTGGGCACCGGCTTTTATGTGGATGCTGACTTCAACAAACTGAGCTGCGCATCAGAACTGAGAAAATGGAACAGTGGCGGGCCTGATCCTTACCCCGGTGTTAAACGAATCCATTTACCCCAGTAGCTCATTTTGGATTTGTGCCACATGAAGAGCCCATCCTGCCCTGGCTCTCCGGATGGAAACCAGCAGAGTGAGGACAAGCCCCTGGGGGGACGCAGCCTCCGGGGCGCCTCGGCAGCTGCTCTGGTGCCGGACCCTCTCCCTCCTGACACCTCGATCCTCTCCTGAGACTGAGCTTTTACCACAAAGCGACTCCCACCACGCATCTGCAGGGCTCACTGTGGGACTCCCTGACCGGTTTATTGCTCTGCCTGTACTGGTAACCTTGATTTCAGCCTGCAAAGTCACATCTATTATTAATAGGAGGCCGCTGCCAGTGCCGGCAGGAGGGGCAGGACACGTGCTGCCCCGTGCAACGCTCGATGCACAGAGATTGCTGCTCCGTGGGGCTCTTCACCTCCAGTGCCGGCTCACATGGGGCTGACAGCCCGCGGAAGGTCCCGAGTGCTGACAATTTTTGTAGAACTTTCACTTTTCAGCAGGCAGCAGCTGCCTGTTCCTCACCTCTCCCCAGAGAGCCCCCAGCAGAGGTTCCTCTCCCGCAGCCCCAGCAGGAGCCGTCGCCCGCAGACCCCCAGCGCGGCGCCTGGCAGCTCCGTACCTGTTGATCAGTGAGACGACGGCGGCGAAGAGCTCTTCGTAGAGACCCGCAGCCATCCCCTCCACGCACTCCACACCCGTCATCTTTGGCCCTGGCACAGGCAGAGAGGAGAGCGGGCAAAGACACATCATTTATTTCCAACCGAGTTCAGCCAGGCTGGTGGCAGGGCAACCCAGGCTCTGCCTGCCAAGCACAGCATCCTCCTGCCTCACGTGGATTTAAGAAATAAAAAAAAGCCCAGTTCTGCAAGTTCTTGCCATGTTAAAGCCCAGTTCTGCAAGTTCTTGCCATGTTAAAGCCCAGTTTTACAAGTTCTTGCTTTTATCAGAATAACTTGCAGGGGCCCGGCTGTAATTCTGCCACGGAGGGTGAGCCGGGTGTGGAAAGGCTGAGCTTAAAGCCGGGTGATACCTCGCCCTGCCCTGCCCCGTGCATGCTGGATCTGCCTCCATCAACTCGATCCGAACGTTGATTTGAGGTTTCTAGCAGGTCGGCAGCACTTTGTCCAGCTGGAGCACACCCCCCCACTCCATGCCCAGGTCTCCTCGCAGGACGCGGGTTCAGCTGCGGGCACGGGGCCAGGGTGCCCACCCTGCTGCCCTCCTGGTTTGGGGGGGTTTCCCCCCTTTTGTAGGGAGAGCTCTGACAGCATTTAAGCAGCATCACTCATCTGCCAGGGGCATTATCTGAATTCACCTGATCTTCGTGTGTCCCCAAGGAGCTGAGGGTAGCTCCATGGCAGAGACAGCTGACGATTTAATTTATAGGAACAGATTTAAGCGGACCCCGCTGCCTGGACAGAAAAGGGTGTATTGCCTCCCCTGCAGCACGCCCTCCATCTTCTCCTCGTGCAGAGCCCAGCATCTCCCTGTCACCCATAAATAAAGGAAAAAGGGATGCAGCATCCCGGTACCTGCCGGGCTCTCCTCTGCCGGGGACAGCCGGGGGCCCCGTGCCGTGACCTGCGCCAGGATCTGCTTCAGGTGGTGTTTGAAGACGGCGGTGGTGAACTCCTCCAGGTCGCAGCCCAGCACCTCTGCGGCGTTGCTCGCATGCTCGAATTTCATGAACTGCTTCCTGCCAACTGGGGAGGGGGCCGCGGGGGGCACGGAGGGCTCAGGCACAGCCAGCCCGAGCGGAGGCTCCGTGCCTCTGGCCAACATCCCTACCCGCTCCCACGTGCAACGCCCCCCAAATCAAAATCTGACCAAAATAAACCCCCAAAGGACTGCTGTTCGCAGCGTGGGCCGGGGAGGCGGGCAGGGAGGCTGTACCAGTGCACCCCAGTTTCCTTCCACCCCCCGGGACTCCCGGATCGGCCCTCCCCTCACACCCCTAAGGGGCCGTTTCAGACCAAGCGCTGACTGTCCTGACCCGCTCAGAGCAACCGCCCTGCAGACCACAGCCTGGAAATGCCCTCTGGGCAGCGAGCCCGCCCGGGCAAAGCAGGCAGGAGCCATGCTGGGGGGCAGCGGGGGGATGCTTGGCTGAGACGGGGATGCAAAAAACAGCTACAAGGGAGCCCTCGCCAAAAGCCGTTTGCACGGCTGGTGGGAAGAGCCTCAGCGTTGCCCCGCTGCCTCACGCAACGTCACTGACGGAACCGAAAAGCTTTTTCCTCCTCAGAGTCCACCCGCCTCCTCCTGCCATCCCTTCTCCTTCAGGGACAAGCCCCATACCCCCTCCTAGCCACGGGACTCGGGCTCGGTGGCCCGCCTGGCTCCTGGTCCGGCAGCGGGCAGGACGCTGCCCTCCCTACACACCCGCTTCTGCTAACAGCAGCTGCACGGAGCCTCAGCCTGGCAAGCTGGCTGGCTCGGGAAAGGTTGATGGATTTGTCCCCTGAGCAACCATTTCGCACAAGAGGAACCTTTCCTTGGTCGGAAGAAAGTTCAAAACTGTAAGGATCCCAAACCAATGTTTTTGAACCTGTTTTCCCCACTCGAGTGCTCCCCGGATGGTCGGAGCATCCCACCTGCCCAGCGAGACCCGGCAGAGAGGGGACCAGCTCCAGGGGGGAGTTTTGGGGCAATTCAGAGCAAATCGGGAACCAGGTGGAACACGCAACCGATGCAGGCTGCTGCCGCCAGCACGGCGTCACTCGGGCTCTGCATCTCACGAGCTTCAGCGGAGCGACCCAGCAGATGTGTTGAGGGAAGCCGATGGATTCCGACCCCATCCCTCCAAATCCCAGCTCCCCTGCCCCAGCCCCAGCGGCGTTTGCTGTCCCCACCCGCCCCAGAGCAGTGCTCCCCCCAAAGAGAGTTGGGCCCCACTATTTACATCCTGCAGCAGTGATTCAAATCAGTAGGGGAGCAATCTGCAGGATAAAGCCTTTTACCAACGCAGGAAGGAGCCGGCACACCCTCAGGAATGGGGGGGGATGAGCAGAAATGGGAGCAGATGAGCAAAGAGACATCAGGGGTGAGGAGCCAGCCCGGGGGCTCACGGCTAAGACAAGCTCTTAAAATAAAGGAGGTGGGATGGAGAGCGGGAGGTGGCCACATTCTGGCCAGGCCCATGGGGGACCAGGGTCCCCCGCTCCTGGGCGAGGGGATGCATAAAGCAGCAAAAGTTTCCTGGGGCCAGGGGGCTGCGGGGCTGCTTCACGGCACAGCCACGAGTCATCCCCCCTTTCATCTTTTCCCATTATTTTTTATTCTGATTGAAGGACTCCAACATCAAGGGCTGCGCTGGAGCAGGCAGAGGAATTGCCTCAACAATCCAGGCTTTGATTTATTTTGTTTTCACTGGGTTTTGACCGAGCAGGGGGCACAGAGGCTGCTCCCCATCAGACAGATCTCTGCAGGCTGCTGCTCGCCGGGAGCGGAGGGGCTGCGGGGCCCGGGGCTGCACAGACCTGCCCCCCCGGCCGGGCTCCTGCAGCCAGCAGACCACAGCAGCCACGCCAGCAACCCACACCGGCCACGCCAGCATCCCACACCAGCCACGTCAGCATCCCACGCTGGCCATGCCAGCATCCTACGCTAGCCACGCCAGCATCCGACATCAGCCACGCCAGCATCCCACACCAGCCACGCCAGCAACCCACACCGGCCACTCTAGCATCCCACACCGGCCACGCCAGCATCCCACGCTAGCCACGCCAGCATGCCACGCCGGCCATGCCATCATCCCACGCCAGCGTCCCTTCAGTGCCCCCAGACCGTGCCCTCGCTGTAAGGGGCTGCATGCGCTGAGTCAGCCAGGCTGAGGGCACGGCCACTCCTGCAAACCCCACTGTGCCCACGGCTGGCCCAGCTGCGGATCTGCCCACCCCACATGCGCCACCCCCCAGCAGCCCCAGGAGAGGCCGGGCACCATTTCACACTTCATAAAATATAAACAGCAGCGGCGGCGTGAGGCCCTGCTGGGTGTAATGCGACCACTGTAAAACACGCCAGCTCTAACGCCTAAAAGGTAATTACTTCAGTCCATTTAATATTTAAGAGAAGCAGCAGGAAAACACAGGGTCAGCACCGGCTTTGTCTCGCCCGCGCGCCCATGCATGCTGCCCAGGCAGCGGCTGGGTTTCTATTTTTTATTTCAAATGGGGGAGTATGGGGAGCAGCAGGGAGACCCGGAGGGGCCGGACCCCGTCCCCCCCATCCCCATCCCAGCTGGTACCTGCAAGCCGAGGGCAGCGCTCCCCGGGAGCGGAGGGGACCCACACCACGGGCTCGCTGCCGGGACGGGCAGGTCGGCATCACCACAATCCCCTTCACTTGCCTTCCCGAGCCCCCGTGGCTGCGTGGGGCACACCTTGGCAGCCTGCCCTTTTTTTTTTTTTTTTTTTTCTTTCTTTTCCCACTTATTTTGTCATTAAAACATTTGCACTGCTAATGGGACGAATAAAAAAAGCCCATTTGTTCCTCTTTATTACCCTGGGAGGGGACAGGGAGAGAGAGGAGGCTCCTTCTGGCTTGAATGGTTAATTTATTTGTCCTGCACTAAATTCTCGAGTCTATTCTCTGTTGACCCACTGCCTGATGTATGACATATTAAAGCCTATATATAACAAAGGGAAGAGCTGTGTAATAGCATGATTAAAGAAATATGCCATTCTGGCTGCATTTCCCCGACTGTTTGTAATAAAGATGTCAGAGTGCTGAACAGATAGTGCCATAACTCGGCGTGCGGGGAGACAGCCCGCCCGGCCCGGGGACCGCGGTGGTGATCGTAAAAACCTCCGCGAAGGAGAAGCAATGTCAACGGACACCGGCCGGGACACGGAGGGAATCCAGCTCCCAGGCTGAGCAGGGGTGTGCCGGGGGGGGCAGACACCCACCTCGGGGCTGGATCTCCCCTCTGCTCCCTGCACGGGGCTTTGAGCTGCTCGAACCCCCGTTTCCAGCAAACCGCCCCGTTTCGCCGGCAGCTGAGCACCAGCTCTGCCCAGTTTGTGCTCCAAACTGGGGTCCCCCTGCCCTCGGGGGGTCACATTGTTCTGCCTAAACCCTCTTGCCTGGGGAAAGGAGCCCCCGGGGGCACCCTCCGGAGCACAGAGGTGGTCGCTGCACTATGATCTTGCATCGGGGCGGTTTAGCGCCTTCCCTGGAGCCCTCAAGGCTTCCCCAGGGCAAAACGGCTGCGAGTGGAACCCAAGAGGCACAGAGAGCCGCCGTCCTCCCCAAACCAAACCAGCCGTCGTCCCTCCGCGGCGAGAAAACCAGGCGGCGGAGAGCAGAAAGCTTTAACGGAGAGACAGAGAGAAAAATTGGCAAGAGCGAGAGGCCAGCCCTAACGCAACCCTTTCCAAGAACCGGTTTGATGAAGGACGCGGGAAGCGTCGCGGCCCTTCCCGGCAGCACCCAGGCGGCCCTTGGCTCACCCGCCGCGCGGAGCCACGGCAAAGCCCCCGGTTTTCTACACCCGAGGCCGGCGTTGGGCGCCAGCCCCGGGGCAGCTGCTCTGCGAAGGGCAAGCAAAGGGCAGAGGCCCCTGCGCTGCGTCCTGCTCCCTCCTCATCCTCTCCAGCCCCAGCACAGCCCTCGCAGCCGGTGCCGGGGAACACACAAGTGGCTCCGGGCACCACAAACACATGTAAGGACCACCAAAGCTTTCCTCAGGAATCCCGGGGAGCTGAGGGGCTGCGGTGGGACCCCCCCGCGCAGAGGAAACCCGACGGCGGGTGTCTGAGGGCGTTGCAAGGTGGAGCTGCTGGGAGAGGAACGATCCGCACCGGCTCCGGGATGTTCCTTACGCGATTCCCTGCCCGGCCCCGCTGCGCCCCCGATGGTCCCCCTGCAGCAGGGACCACCCACCCCAGGGACATTTGCCACACAAGGGAAACTCTGGCCCAGCACAGGTAACGGCTCCGCTGTTCCCTCCTCCTTTTAGCGAGAGGCAGCACTGGAAAATCAGGGTAAATCCGGGCACCGAGCTGGGGTGGAACTAAGAGCAAAGTGTCATTTCCACATCAATTCAGGAAAGGTCGCTACATCTCAGAGGCCGTAAAACAGCAGCAACGCTGCAGGTTTAAGGTGTTTTTTTTTTTTTTTTCCTCAGCTCTGGTGAGAAAGCAATAAGTCACCCAAATCCGCTCCTGATTGACATCTGGGCTCAGGGAGCTGCATAATTAACGCCTGTCGGATCCTGCCGGGTGCTCTCCCCTTGCACGTTGATGGACGTCCCCATTACTGTACTGGGCTAAAGGGCTTCCAGCCCTTCTGGAAACTTGCCATTTCACAAAGCCTCGGGGGTGTTCGAGGGGGTTTCAGCCTGCAGGCCCTGGCGGGATGCAGCAGGGCACCATGCACCGGCACGTGGGACACCAGGCTCGGCCCCAGGTCCCTCTCATGAACTGCTCCACATTTCGGTTCCTGGGTTTGAAACCGGGATGCTCCTTCTCCTGCCTCCCAAGGGCACGGCGCTGCAGCCGTGGGGCTGTGCGAGACCCACTCCGGGCATCGTCCCCTTGCTACTTGCTGGGGGTCTCCCCTAAAAGACCCCAAAATCCCACCCCAGCTGCCCGGGCTCTCCCACCCCTCTGCCCTCAGGGCTCTGCTGCGGGCGCTGCCGACCTCCGCAGGGTTTGGGGGGGCTCAGAGCCTCCCCCACACTCCATCCCCCCCCCTCCTACACTCCTACCCTGATGGTTTTCCTCCATCCAAGGGGTTCAGGCCGCTGGTTTTGCGGCAGCCCCTACCTGGTGCAGCAGGGGGGGTCTGGGGGGAGCCACACTTGGCTCCCAGGCACGCACCCGCCCGCAGCACTGGGAGGACTTACAGCCACTGGAAACCAGTCGCCTCCATTAAAGCTGCGTGGTGGGAAGCCCACAGAAAGCGGGGAGCTGCGATGCTTTATTTTTATTACAGTCAGCAAAATGGACAGCTTGAGAGCGAGCTGAATGCCGACCCCCAGCTGCGCCCGAAACCTCCTTCCCGGTTAAAGAGGCAATGAATAAATGAAAATATCTAATATTCCGCAGCCCACAAAGGGGACTGGAAGCACTTAGGTGAATGGGTACCTAGGATGCCCTGCTGGCCTCTGCCTGTCAGGCTGCTTTCTCACAAAATGAGCCACTCTCAGACGTTTCAAAGGCAACGGGAAACACTGACACCGGGATGGAGCAGGCTTTTGAAATTCAGCCTTTTCTTCTCGGTGTTTTTCTAGCTGCAGATGTATTTTCCACTCCCAGCTAGAGAGAGGTGGTGCTATTCTCCCCTGTTTGGTTCCTGGACAAACTGAATTTGTGATGAGATGATAGCCATCACAGAAGGAAAAAAAGAAAAAGAAAAAAAAGGTGCATTTAACCTGCGCCGGGGTCTGGCAGCCGGAGCAGGGCACGTGCCGGGGACGGTGGCGGCGGCTGCAGCGACTGGCTGCGCTCCTGAACGCCGGGGAAAAACCAGCGCGGGGGCTCCCTTTGGTGAGGTTTCAAGGAGAGGATTTTGAATATACAACTTCAAAGCGCATGAAAGGGGAAGGGAAGCGATGGCTATCAGGAGACAGGTTTAACCACATTAAAAGAGTCATCGCCCCCACTGAGACTTTTGCTCCATCCAGCTTTGATCCATTTTTTATCCATATTTCCTTTCATTTCTCCCCTTTTGTTGGCGCACGATGGGGGAATCGATACCAGAGTGAGTGATGCTGAGACATGCTCTGGTTGTTAATCCTGTACCAAGCCACAGCCCAGCCTGGGCCCGCTCTTAACATTCCTGTTTGTGCTGCAATAATGGCAACAAGATCTGCTGAATATCGCGCTCGATTCACTCCCAGCCTGGCTCCAGGAGCCCTGGGACAGCACGGCCAGAAAATCGGAGCAAACCAGCTCAAGCTCACCCAGCAAACCCTCCGTGGCCAACACAGTGACTGAGCTTCCATCGCCTTTGAGCTGGGCCCTCTTGAACTGAGACACATCTCCAAAATCAGCTCTCCTGAAAACTCTCAAGGCAGAAGGACTTCTTTTTTTTTTTTTTTTTTGGCCAAAAGCCTTATCACGCACTTCAGCCTGAGAGAGCAGGGTCATTTTTTATAAGTTGGAAGGGCATTAGGGGAGATGGAGATGGGGAGAGAGAACACCAGAGAGAAGGAGAAAGAGGACTCACTGTAAGTGATGACAGCACCCATCCTTTTAAAATAATTAATAAATGATTAATGGCATAAATTACCATAAGATGTGTTGTGACATGTTGCAGAGACATTTATAAATGTCTGTGGCTTAGTTTATAGCAGCCTTTATGCAGTCCTCATAAATTGAAGTGTGTAAATCAATGTGACTGTCTCTAAAATGGGTTAGAGCACATCTTAAAATAATTTACAAGGGGTAAGGCAATTTCTATACGCCCGTATTAACAAAGTCGTTATAAATACAATCCTCATCCAGACTCATCCTACTGTAGTTCAGCCACTGTATCAGGCACTCGGGAGATGATAAAGTTATCGCTACTTGAAGCCGTCCCGTCGCGGCGTCATCGCAGACAACGTGCCCCAAGGTTACGTCCCCCCGGTCCTTCCCACAGAGCTGGTGTGAGGTGACACCTGGCAGCCCCGCGCCGGCCGGGGGACGCGGCATCGCCCGGCTCCTCCGCGGGCAGCGAAGGGCTCGGAGTCACCGCCCGGGCCACAGCCTCTGGGCCAGCATCCCTCCCGCACGCCTCCCTCCTTCGCCCCCCTCTAACGCCCCGGCCCCCCAGATGAGGTCTAAGGAAAGGAGGGGCGGGAGCCCCCCGTACCTTTACAGGCGCCGGCGGCTCCCAGGTGGTAGATGCCGGCCAAGACGCGCCAGACGGCCGCCTGCTCCTCCGCCGTGATGCCCAGCGTGGCCATGGCAGCCCGGAGCTGGGCGAAGGCCGCCGAGGCTTTCTGCTTCTCCTCGGGCTGCAGGAGGAAAGAGACGGGAAGGGAAACGTCACTGCCAGAGCACCCCAGGCACAGGGGGGGACACACGGCGGGAAGGCAAACGGGCGTGGGAAAGTCAGGCGGCCAGCAAGGGGAAGAGAAAAAGGGACCCTAGGAACAGTTTGGACAGCACTGGGAGAAGCCCCTGGCGGGTTCTTCCAGAGCCTGGGGTTCGGAGCGAGCCTGGGTATGTCTTCTCATCCTATGACTACACAAAATTCCCACCTCAGGGGTGTCTAGAGGTGTTAAACAGCAGCTGGAGACCGGCCGTTTCTATCCAAACACCCGCCTCGGGCGTGCCGGGCAGCAGCACGGCCCCCAGCCAGGAGCAGACCTCACCTGCCCACCTCCAACCACAGCAGCCCCAGCCCGGACTCCTGCAATTTTTTATTTTTTTTTTTTTCCAAATGTAGCCCCACTGCAGAATTAGGGCTTTTTTCCCCCCAAACGGACGCTGTTCTGTGCAGACACGTGTGGCCCCGGGGGCCAGGCACCGCCCGCGGGCTCCAGCGTGCAGCATCTCTGTCTTGGCAAGGACCAGCCCGCCTGGGCTAAAGGATCCCAGTGCCGAGGCCTGCGGGGCAGCTGCTGCTGAGGAAACACAGCTGAGGCCTCTGATTTCTCCAAATTCAAAGAAATACCCCAAATACTTGTGACACCAGTGTCACAGCAGGGGTTCTCCAGCCCCACAGGCCACGCTGGGGGATGAGGGCTGGGAAGCTGCTGGTCAGATTTTTCAGTCTCAGCATCCAGAGCTCGGTTCAAAAACGGAAAATCTGACAAATTTCCCCAAACACCAACCCAACCCAACCCTTTTGGGCGGTTCATCCTTCCACGCCCCCACCCCCGGCAGCCCCACCGCACCGCGCTGAACCCGACGGCCGAGCCTGGCTGGCCGGGGACACGCACGTGCCGTGGGGAAGGAGGAGAAGCAGTGGCAGAGACAAGCTCATCTCGTGTCCTTTGCAGAGCCCCCACTCCCTGGGCTGAAGAGACGCCGCCCGGCTCCCGCCGACCCTCCGCATCCCAGCAGGAAAACCCTCAGTGCTGGGATAGGGGACCCACAGGAACCGGGGGCTGCGCAAGGAGGGTAAAACCCCATCTCTGAACCCAAACCTGCTGCAGCACCCGCAGGGGGAGGCCCCGCAGCAGCTCGCCGTGCCCCCGCGGCTCGAACGGC